TATTAATGGCTATCATTATTACCTAACAACCATATTCATGGCTCTTCAACCATAATTTTCATCTATAATAATGAGCCCATCCTCATGACACATAAAACAATTAATACTAAGATTAAATAACTTAAACAACTTTTGTTAATTTTATTTAAGTTATTGGGTTTAGACTCGTAATCTCTTAGACCGAAAGTCACTCCTAATCATCAAACTCTAACCTCAAAACTTCTAAAAAAAGGAGAGAGGAAGGAAGAAAGGAGCTTAAGAAATTTACCTCTTGTGTTTGCTAGTTTCAAAATACTTTAAAAATCCTTTAATAACCAAGTCATAGTAGAGCTCTCGAGCCTTCTTTGTCCCTCTCATCTAATATTTATGTTCTCTCTCTCTTTTTACATTTGAACAAGACCTTATCACTGTCAGAATTTGGCTGTACGCTGCGATGCTTATCAGACGTGCGGTGATATGTGATATAGAGAGGGGGGTTCCTTCTCTTTTTTTTTTTGCTTATTACACCTTTACATGCGGTGCATGCACCATAACATCTGGCCTAAAGTCATTCTTCCTTTTTTTCTCCTTTTTTGAGGTCCAGGTGACATGACTTCACTTAGGACTCGAACATAGGGCTAAAATCATAGCCCAAAACATTCATTAGTTTTCTTTAACCACACATCACATTAATTTACTTAATTATCCTAAATTAGTCTGATTAAATAGAAAGTTAATTTTTTGAATATTATAGTTGCATTGATCACGAGTAAATAAGTTATATGTTATAAATGTGATTAATGTATAGTTGCCTTATGTGATATTATTTGCTTACTTGATTGTGGATGCCACATCTTATTATATTTTAATTAAATTATTTGGTTATTGAGATTGTTTAATCTCACCCCATTACTTATTATCTTTCTAGGAGATATTAAGGCAAAGGAGAAAGGGGAAGATTCTGAGGCTAAGCGCTAGAGAGTAGCCTTGTAATTATCTCTAGTAGCTCTTGTGTGTACTGAAATATATTTACTTTGCTAACTTCGGATTTGATTGTGTAATGTTAACCATAGATCATTTCCATGTGAGCTCTAATCGTTGACCTGGGCATTTTAGGTCAAGGCCTTATGTTTTTAAGAGAAGGCCTACCATGCAAATGCGTGCATGTTGAGGAGCAATGTTTAAATCTAAATAATATGAGTTATACATGATTATGTGTGATTGTTACATGTTTGAGTTTATTCAATTTGTGAATGGCTTTGCGGAGGGGAGACACTTAGTGGGGTGCCTTTAATAAGGGCTTGTATGGTACTAAGTATTTCAAGATTCTCATTTATTATTGGTTTGATTATGAGACTAGAGCCATCAGATTATTTGGTAAATTAGGTGCGTGTGGGCACTTAGATAACCTAATTGAAGGTCTAGGCAATTAATTAGGTGCTTTGAAAATTAGTATATATTGCTGGATAATTCTGTGTTGATAAAGGGCTTCAGCTGTGGTGGGTATGTGCTTAGCCACAATAGATGTATCATGTGGGTTAGCTACGGTGGAAAGGGTTATAGGCTGTGGTGAAGTGGTCTTTATACCACTTGTCGAGTCGACATATATTAGGCTAAAGCGGATGTGGAAATTGTGGTTGGCAACAGTAGATGTGAAGTGGGCCACAACAAATGTGCTGTGCAAGATTAGTCACAATGGATGAGCACAATTTCACATTAATGTTTGTTTTGACTTTGTTTCACCTATTTCTCAATGCCAAATTCCATGTTTTTGCAGCCCCTTTTCAACTTTGATTCGAAATAATTGCCAAGTGTTACCATTTTAATATTTAATTTTAAATGATTTGAGATCCCATTGTTATTCTCCAAATCCTTTCAAGGGCTTGTTTAATTATTGGTAGCCACAATTGATTCATAATTTAAGCATTGGTTGATTAGTGAGTTAAATCGGGTTAATGATGGAGGTCATTATCAAAGACCTATAAAATTACACATAAATATTCTATAAGAAAATTAATATCAATTAATAGGATGCAAATGTTATTTCTTACCCAAAAGGTTAAAATACGATTTTAACCGGTCATTATTTTAAGAACTTAATCAATATTAATTTTCTTATAGGATATTTATTATAAATTTTATAATTCATTTTTGTAAGTTTTTAAGTCATTTTTTAATAATTTTTTAGCCAACTAGTTGCCAAATTTGATTTTTTTTTTAATGGCAGGGTGTCTAGTATATGATTTTCAAATGTTAGAGGGAAACACATACTCCTAAACAAATAGTTGAGGAACAAAAATATTCCTTGACTCTTTAATAAATCACCTTTTTTGAGTACTTATAGGTATTTTTTTATTGTGGACAATTCTATCAGACATACTGTTGAGCATTAAATGTAGTTATATATTCTAGTGAGAGTTTAAATTTTAATTTATTACGTTGAAAGTAACTAGTCCCTTCTACTGTAAGTTGGTATTTTTGTAAATCACCTGTAAAAAGCAAGGGATGGACTGGCACTGAATCCAGCCCCGTGGACATGAACGAGCTATATGAACTATAGGGGAACATACGCGGCGGCTTTAAATTTGCAAAAGGGCAAACATGAGAGTAAGAGACAGCGAGGACTGGAGAATTGAAAAACATTCTGCGGATCATGTGTCGGAAAGGAGAAGCTGTTTCCAGAGTTTGCGTAATACTACATCCTGCACGCATAGACCAACAGATAGAGGGCACGATATATTCAGTCCGTGAACTACAAATGGTGTTGCAAATTTATATTAGAACTAGAATTGATCTTATCCCCAACGCTCCATGCAAAGTTGAATGCGCGTTGTTCATTCAAAGAATGTCACGCGTGGGGGGAATATCCTATCCTACCACAAACTGACACCTGTCCTTTCGAAAAGGAATCAAAGCCCCAGGCATCAGGATATCTGGATATATTGCTTTGGACTCACGTTTAACAAAGATTTGCCTCTCTGGACCCTGCTGCTGCGTCCTTATTTCTTATTATTTAAATCTAATTCTGATAATGCTGAATGGCCCAATCATTCTGCAAACCCTGCACTGCCCTCTCAATACCAGCAAGAATCAGCACGAGATGAAACATCTAAGGCGGCAGCTTCCTCGCCACCACTACATGCTTTTGTATTATATCTTTTTTTTTTTTTGGTCCCCACAACTGCCATAGCTGAATTTTTATTCTCAGCCGGAACTAAAAATGCACTCGAATTTTTAATTTCTCGTTAAAGAATACGTAGAAGATTAATGTACTATCAAATTTGCTGCGCTCTTACTTTCTACAGATTACTATTATTTATGGAACTGTTCGCTGGGAATAAATCAACCCAATTGAACAAGCGTGAAAGGTTCGTATTCACTATTCAATTCCAGAACTGTAGTTATAACACGCACGTTTGCGTAGCAGCCTAGCAGGGTGGTGCAAGTTGGGAATGCAGGCCCAAGGTTACTGTACTAAACGGTTTATTCAACATCTTCCTTCACCTACTACAAGCCCTGGATAGATGCAGGACCCACTTTCCGTTGTCCTCGCTCCATTAATCTATTGTGCCTCCTTCAGTCCTTCTAGACCTTTTTTAATTATAGCAAGGACAAAACTTACATTTGGTCACGTTAAGAGTTATATATATATATATATATATATATTCTCCCACGCTCTTCCACTATTCATTAATTCCTTTTATTTACGCATTAGTGATGGAGGAGCATTTTCTGGGAACATAACCCAGTATGCAATCAAAACCCTTGCAAAATGAACCCATTACTTTATATAATTTAAGTGCTAAACAGATATGACAGTAGTAGAAATTATTGTATACAGTCTCTATAGGTATGTATGTATGTATTCGTTCATCCTTTGATTAGAACGAAGCAGAGCAATAGTCAAACAATAATTTGATTTTTCCTGACGAGTTAATTCTACGGTGTCTCGCATATTCTCCATGAAGTGGTTGTGGTTAGATTGATTTGTTCACCCTTTCTTTTTGACTCTATTGGCAGATGCCACCATATCTGTTTTTATTTTCTTTTTAATTATTAGTACTGTTTGTTGGTTCAATAGCTTCCATGAATGTTCAACCATTTGGAATCCAGGCTTGAACTTGTCTGCTTCTAGAATGTGCATATGCCTAATTAATCCAAATATTAGCGCGCGAGCATATGATGGTTTAATTTAATTATTTATTTATGGACCTGATAATGCATTACTCAGAAGAAAAATGAGAGCAATGGCAAACCCCATTCTGATAATCTGATCAGCCTCGTCCTTAATTAAGCGCTACAAGTTAGAGCCTATCCTTGACCTCCACATTAAGAATTTAAAAACAAGAATCTGATTGTCAAGTTGCTAATGTCTGATATTGACATCCTAACCATAAACACTCTAGATGACACTACCAACCAAAAACTGGGAAATATCAAATTCTTAGCACACGATATACATTAATCCACGACATGCCACTTTTCTCTTTGTTAAAACGTGGCAGATGTCCACAAGATACAAACTCTTCGATGTGTGCAACAAAGATATGATGATGGACTTGTTGGTTTATTAGCACTCAGGGGAAAAAAAATTCCTATCACATATCTTCAATACTCGGCGACGTTCCAGGAGAATGTACATCAACAGCTGAACAAGCTCCACTAGTGGACGGCAAGGGATGAAAATGGAAACTATACATGTGTTCTTTGATGTATGGAGGGTGGGGGGGAGCTTAGGGTAACATTGAAGTCAAGAGGTAGGCAAGATACTTGACTACTAATTAATTGAAGATATACGTTCATAACAATGATAATAAATGTTTTAAAAAATAAAAGCGAGTACAAATAGTTATTAAATGAAATATCGTTCATGCACATAGTGGAACTGTTGGCATTCATTTGCAAGAGATCAAGAAGTCAAGGAATCTCTCCCAGAACTTCTCTCCTTAAGGTGGTAGGTGAATGCACGTATTATATATATTTCTCGGCCTTCACTTCAATATTCCAAAGTCACAGTTTTTTTAAAAAATCCATCTTCGACGCCGTCCTTGTGATTAAACTACTTTGAAAGGTCTGGTTAGTGAAAAACACATTGCAAAGGTCGAATATCGTAGCATTGCTCATACCGGTTCCAGATGACTAAGAAGATCACATGGAAGTCTATCATCTTCGTCCTAAACTGTTACAGGACTGATTACCCCCCGTTGCAGGAAAAACAACCCTTGAAACAAGGTTCATTCCAGAGGCTATGCCTCTCGGACATAAGCAATTCCAGCTCGTCTCAGGCCATTGACGATCTCTCAATTTCTTTGGCTGGTTCAAAACTTCACATATTCAGCCTAGAGGAGCTTAGGGAGGCAACCCATAATTTCTCATGGAGCAATCTGCTTGGTGAAGGCGGGTTTGGACCCGTGCACAAGGGATTCTTTGATGACAAACTTAGGCGTGGATTGAAAGCCCAGCCTGTAGCTGTCAAACGCCTCGACTTAGGTGGCTTGCAAGGTCATAGGGAATGGCTGGTTAGCTTCCTCAACCAATTGACTACAATTTATTAGTTTCTTTCCTAGTCACCAATCAATATTAAGGTTGCATGCTTTTTAATGGAATAAAATAACCCAGAAAGAGCTAGTGAAATACGGATATTTACAGCACTGTTCAATGCTTGCTTCTCTAGGCAGAGATTATCTTCCTTGGACAGCTGCAGCATCCGCATCTTGTAAAGTTGATTGGGTACTGTTATGAGGAGGAGCATAGGCTTTTGGTTTACGAATACATGCCAAGAGGAAGCTTGGAGAACCAGCTCTTCAGAAGTATGTTACTTTTCTTTCTTCTGCTTGTTCCTTTTCCCCCATCAAATCAAAATAGAAAAGAAGCTGAATCTTTCTGATTACCTGGAAGCAACAAACTCAAATCTGCTGGTTCAAAGAGAGAAACTAATTTCTTATCATAACTTTGCCTGACCCTGATTCCGTTGTTTTAGGATACTCTGCTGTCTTGCCATGGTCAACCAGGATGAAAATTGCACTAGGCGCAGCTAAAGGCCTGGCCTTCCTTCATGAAGTAGATAAACCAGTAATTTACAGAGATTTCAAAGCTTCAAACATTTTGCTGGACTCGGTAGGTCCTCTGCTCTGCCATCTCTGTTCTGACTTCTGAGTTCTCACCATATCTGCGAATTTCCCTGCCAATACAAATTCACTTCATAAATTTCTATTTCTCAAACACAGGATTACACAGCCAAACTGTCAGATTTCGGGCTGGCAAAGGATGGTCCAGAAGGGGAAGAAACACACGTAACAACACGCGTGATGGGGACACAGGGCTATGCTGCTCCTGAGTATGTCATGACTGGTCACCTGACAACGAAGAGTGATGTGTACAGCTACGGAGTGGTTCTGCTAGAATTGCTAACAGGGAAGCGGGTGGTGGATAAGAACAGGCCAAGTAAAGAGCACAGCCTGGTGGAGTGGGCAAGACCAATGTTAAGGGATCCTAAAAAGCTGTATCGAGTTATAGATCCCAGACTTGAAGGCCAATTTCCTGCGAGAGGAGCTCGGAAGGTGGCTGCCCTGGCTTACAAATGCTTGAGTCACCACCCAAATCCAAGGCCCACCATGTCCGATGTGGTGACGATATTGGAGACACTTCAGGGCTTTGATGATATTTTCGTAGGACCTTTTGTGTATGTTGCCGTAAGTGAAGGCCAGAAAGAAGCATAAAATAGTCATATATAGTGTACCAGATAGTAATTTTTTTTTTATTTTCGCATTTTGGTCTGTAAAGGATGTGTCGATTTTCATAATTATGAAGCTGGACGTAATCAGCTGTATACAAATAGTAGCTAGGAACTGAGAACTGCACCAAGGGGAATGCACTTTGAGGTGAAATTAATATTGCCCCTTCGAGATACAATTTGTCAGAAGGGGTGAACAAGATTTTCAGGTTTGACAGCGTACACAATAATTCAGTGCAAGTTTGGCATAAAGCTTATACCATTTATATCAGCCCAAAAGAGGCGTGGTGAGGGAACTTTCGAGTTTTTATCAGCTTGTGTAAGAGAAAAGACAAGGGTTAAGAATGATGATTAAAAGGTCCTTTCTGGTAGCCACAATTGGCTATAGAGGGAAGGAAATCGTTATTCTTGTATTGTTTATTGGTTTGAAAAAGTAGAAAAGAAGCTTTGGTCATTTGGTGAGATGATTACAGTAAAAAGCGGGTCATGGCCTGGCTATGTATTTTTCCATGCGACGTAGGAACCCACATTGGATGACAAGGACAGAACAGCTTAAGGAGAAGTAAGCATATTACTGTGATTCAATCACGTTCATCCGAGCGAGTGAATGGAGAAACACTAAACCATCCATCACTATTCATAAAGTCATGTTTATATTATAATATATGCATGTGTAATTAATTTACAAATTAGCTTCACATCACGCATACCTACCTCCTGAGAGTTGCATCGCGTATTACACATCGTGTGCGAAGCGTGGGTGCGGGAATATTAGCAAATTCCGCAACCGCTCAACCACTAATGCTTGATTTTTCCCACAGCAGCCATCACCCCTCATGCCAGCATCTTCATCTGTTCTTACTGTTGAATCTTCTAAAATAACATTCATGATCTTGTCTTTTTTTTTTATATATATACAATTCTTCTATTGCATATTATATCCGGTTCCTTGTTCCTTCACAACGTTGACCATCTTTGGTGCATGATTGTAGGTATTGTGAACTTATGACCAATATATATATATATATGATTGACTTGTTGGGATAATAGTACGTTACGTTTACATGCAAAGGATTGGATTATAAATTGGACATAATAATTACATGATAAAACTTCGCTCAAGAGATGGTGCTAGAATATGAGTACAAAATTATGACGGTTCTTATAAATTATAATTAGGATTAACGGATTTTAGACTTTTAGTCAATAATTTCTGCACAAGTTATGGTGTTCAAATTTAATTTGAGATTGATGATTCCTTAACTTGTTGAAATTAGGATTGACGTAACCTATTCAATCTTGTCAAATGGATAGTGCCAATATCTAGCAAGTCCGGTCCAGGATTGAAGATGCGTTATCCGCGTGTTTTATGGTTATAAATTGCATTTCTCTTGGTTCCTTCGTTCTTGTCATCATGTAATTGCTCTTGAACTCTTTCAATTAAATGTTTTCTCAATTTAAAATTATAGGGAAAAATAGTAACTATAAACATATAACTCGTGGCCTTTTAGACTCATCCCTCGCATGGCAAAACCCACATTTTTGTCAACTAGTGTCAACCTCCGTCCAACGCATGGATGTGGAATGAAAACAAATGAGATAGGCTATTGTGAAAAGAAAAAAATAGGAACATGAAGTTAGCCATGTATGTCATGCAACAATTTTGATCTTATGCATAATGATGTTCTTTAAATCTGTTTTTCAAATATGTGGTCATTACTAATCTTTAATGTTTTGTTTTAGTACACGGTGGGGCAAAGCCCAAACAAAGTTACTTCAAAATCAATGATCTTTATTTTTTTTAATTGCGCATATACATGTTTAAATCTTTGAATCTTTTAACATACAAGAAATTTAGAGAATTAATTAGGTTGTTTTTTTAACCAACAAATTAATTAGGCTGTTTAAATATGATTAAGCTTCCATTCATTTTATTTCTAATGAGATATAAGTTTTAATAAAATGAAGTGAATGTAAATATGTTTTTGTACAATCAATCATTAATTATAATTCATTTTGTTATGATTTATATTTATCTTTGTATTTATTAAGAAACAGAATTAAATTACAATTTATAAATGACACGAAGTTAATTAAATATGTTAGAGTAGAAATATCTATAAATAAGTATTTAAATAAAGTTAAATTTAATAACTTGAGTTATGATTTTCAAAATTTGACTTTCCATGCAATTGTAATAATGAAAATAATTGATTATATCAATATGACTTCAAACAAATTTAATTCTTCTTAAATTATCAATCATTACTTAGCAGGCATGCACCATAATTCCAGGCCCAAGAAAAAAAATCACCTTAGTAATCATTGAGACAAAGTGACGTCGAGTTTTGGATTTCAAAACTGTTTTTTCGGTAGTCCATGATGAGATAGAAATATTTTATTATTTTTTTATTAAAAAATATAAAATATTTTTAAAGGATTTGAATATTTAAAAATTTAAGATATTTTTAATCTTTTGAAGTGTAATTATTATTTTTTTTAAAATATCTCTATTAATAGTGACTTTATATTTATCATAAATTATTTAATAAAGATAAATATAAAAATATATGGTTAGTTTAAAAGTAGATAACTACTTTATTTAAGGGTAAAATTTGATTAAAAATACCTTACATTTTTAAATGAAAAAATATTTTAAAATATAAATAATTTGATAAAGATAATATTTTATTAATGATGTTTTTATAAGTATTTTTCTTTCTTAATTTACAAGACACTTTAAAAAATTACATATATTAATAAAATTTATTAAATACATCTTATAATTTTATTAAATAAAATAATAAAAACTTTTAAAAATAATTTTTATTTAATATTTTATTTATAAATAAATATAAAAAAATATATAATAAGATTAATATTAAAAACACGTTAAAGTGTTTTATATTTTAAAGCATCTAAATTTTTTTTAAAATATTTTATAATTTAAAATGAAAGTAAATATATAATTTAAATAATTACAGTATAGTATTTATATTGAATAAATTTAAAATTATATTAAATAAAAAGTATTTTGAAAGTTTATTATATTAAAAAAAAATTTGCACATAGTATTATTATTAAGTTTTATTCTTTTTTTTAACAGGTTAAATTTTGTTGAAATACATAGTTTTATAAAATAATTTGAGACTATGGACTGTTCTACCTTAATTTATTCGCTTGCTTTTTAATTTCTCTTCTCTGAGACATGAATGCGAAATTGAACTCAGAATCTGATGCGACTTTTTCTTTTTCTGGGGGGAGCCAACTGACTCTGATACAGTTGATGCGCGCGACTAATAACGAAGAGAACAAAAGAAGCAGGAATAGATCGTCAAGGGTTAACACGGATTTGTACTTGGCCTAATGGCGAGCTTAGTGTCTGTGGCCGGTGCACTTACAGCGAACGATCGCCGGATTTTGTCGGCCGTGAACACCGGAGCGTCGAGCCTTTCATTCGTCGGGTCGAGCTTCATTGTGCTCTGCTACGTCCTATTCACGGAGCTCCGCAAATTTTCCTTCAAGCTTGTTTTCTACCTTGCCCTCTCTGTATGCATCCCATTCCACCCTATTTGGATCCATCGGGTTTTGTTGGTGACGCTTAGATCTGATTTCTTTTTGTTCTCGCCTGCTGTAAATCTTTATTTATGAGCACAAATTCATTTGGCTTTTAATTGTTAGCTCTCACATAAGTAATCAGTTTGATGTCGAAACTTGAATTGGATCGACAATCAAAGCATGATTCGAGTGTCTCATTTAGGGGAAGTGTTCGAGATATGCCACTTACCTCGCCTTAGTTAGGCATAGCCAGTTTACTTTAATTATTATTATTATTATTATTATTATTATTATTATTATTATTATTATTATAAGGGTAAATTGCAGTTTTTCTCTTGTGGTTTGGCCGAAATTCAGTCTTCTTTTGAGTTGTTTAACTCTCTCACGATTTGTTCAAATACCATTTATTCAATCTCTTAGTTTACATGCAAAGTTTATCAAAAAAAAGCGAAGGTTTTGAATGATAAAGTTTCACTTATATTTTGAACATTTTTGCAGAGCATGTAGGATCAAAGGCACAATTTTAATTGTGGAATGTTATTTTAAAGTTTAAGTAAAACATTTTAACAATGACATAGCTTATTAGTTTAACTTTCGCATGATCATTTTGGTTGTAATTAAAAAAAAAATAGTCAAGGTGGTTAAGCAATAATGAAACAAATCATAAAGGAGTTGAATGAGGCACTTTAGACCTCATGGGAACAATTTGATATTGGCCAAACCACAGGGGAATGTGATTTACCTAAGTATCATTAGGACTGGCATTAGGAGTCTAACTATTAAACTGTAGTTAAAAATGTTTAATTTGATTTGACATGGGTCCTGGTGATTATAATAAACTTCTACTGGCAAAGCAAACTATAGGCCTGCTTGTTGTTGGCTTGACTTCTGGGCTTTTACGTGTAAAACTACCTTTTATTGAAAAAGTCTAATCCTGTTGGATGATTCAGAATTATTTGAAATTCAGAAAATCAATCATGTGTGTGCCCTGTGGCTGTATGCTAGTTTCGCCTCATTTTCTTTTTCAGAATTCAGATCCTTTGGTAAAGTGCTCCAATGTGACATTTTCTTTGACTGCAGGACATGCTTTGCAGTTTCTTCAACATAGTAGGGTATGGCTGCTGAATCAAGTGCAATCTTCTTCACATGTATGTTAAGGTGTTCATTACATGATTGATGGAAGTTTCATTTTGATTTAGGGACCCATCCAAAGGTTTCTTTTGTTATGCTCAGAGTTACAGCACACATTTCTTTTGTGTGGCATCTTTCCTATGGACTACAACAATTGCTTTTACCCTTCATCGTACTGTTGTTAGGCACAAAACAGATGTTGAAGATTTGGAGGCCATGTTTCATCTATATGTTTGGGGTACGTATTTATGGTTGATCAACTTTCAACTTGTTAACTTAAGGGGATGGGCAACTTTGCTGTAATCTACTCCACCAGTAACTTAGAAATTAAAATTTGGAATAATATGATTTTTAGTTCCTAAACATTCTCTCAATTATCAATTTATTCCTTGAACTTTGAGTCAATACAACTCCATCCTTGTAGTTTATTGAGTTAATGAATTATAAGGATTGAGTTGTAGCAATTCAAAGAACTATAAGGATTGAATTGTTTCAAGTCAAGAAATTATAGGGATTGAGTTGTTTTGATTCAAAGTTAAAGGCCTGAATCAATACTTACCAAAAAAAAGGTTTGAAACAATAATTGAAGAAGTGTTTAGGGACTAAAAGTTACTCTCTCTATTAAAAAATGTAAAGTATTTTTTGAGGGGTTAGATATTCCAAAATGTAAGTCATTTTTAGTCTTTTAAAGTGTAATCATTACTTCTTTTCTTTTCTTTTTTATTTCAAAAAGTGTCCCTATTGAATAGATCACTTTATATTTTTTTAGGGTGAAACACCCTATTAAATAGAAGTAAATATGAAAAGATTTTGTTAGTTTAAAGATAAATAACTACTTTATTGGGGGTGAAATTTAGTTAAAAATATCCTACATTTTTAAATGGAGGGAATATATTTTTTCTTAAACTTTAGAAGAAATTTATTGTGTATTTGACTATTTGGTTTTATTCAAATACCAATAGTATGATTTCCTAGGTCCATTTTTTATTCCAGTTTCCACCCATTCTTATAATTAGTTCAAATCTTTAATTGCAGTGAGCTCATTTGACAAAATTTTTACTATTTCTAGGTACGTCCCTAGTCATGACAGTCAGTCGCTCCTTTGGTAATGACCATAGACATTTTGGCACATGGTGTTCTAGTCAAATGGGTCGCACAGGGAAGGCAAGTATTGTTGACAAGAGCTACCTTGGGTTTTATTTTCAAGTATTTTAATTTCTCTAAAATAAAGTATAATTTTCCCCTTTTCAGATTTCCTTTTAAAGTACACAAGTGCTTCATTTCATATCTCAATTCCATATTATTTGTTCAAGTCCTATTTGTTTTTGAATGTAATGTTGCTTTTTTTTTGGGGGGGGGGTTCATGTTGCAATTCTTCAATCGAATTCCTAATTATCAGCATGCAAAGTAGCTAAAATTAACTGGAAAATAACCATGCAATGTGCAAAAGTTTGGGGCTCTGCTGAAAATTCAGTATGGCATTCTATCCCTACTTTTATGATTGGCCTATATGCTCTTTGTAATGACATTATCTAGACGAAGTTGGTGACAAGAAACACCAAGCTGTTATAATGACATTATCTAAATGAAGTTGGTGATAATAAATGAGGAAAAGTAGTCATTTAGTCTTTCAATTTCAACTCAATTATAACTCAGTCCTTTAAGTTTGATTTATCACAACTTGGTCCCTCAAATTTCTTTTATTTTATAATTGTGTCCCTACTGTCAGTGAACCAAGAGATACCATGCTTATGTGTCACAAACATTACTTACATGGCATCTTAGACAGCACCATGTCAAATTTGGAAGGAAAAAAAATTGGACTTGAACACATTAGATTTGAATCCTTCAAATCATATTAATAAAGCATTTCAAGGCATGAGAATTCTTCAGTGTGAAACTATGAATTACTGAAACCAGAAGTGATGATTAAAAAACCAAACGAGAAAGAGATTCTTATCGGGAGACTCATTTTCTAAGTTGAACTGGGAGTAATGAAGGTCAAAGGCACCTTCTTTCAGGTACTGTCAGAACAAGGGTGCTACCAAATCACCAACTTTTGATTCTGGCACCATCATGACCTTAACTGGTCCCAGGCTTCCCAGAACAGTTCTTGAGGCAGCAGCTTTGGTGGTTGCCAGGGTAGGCCTCCGTCCGGTGTGCTTTCTATGCAAGATGAGGTCTGACACAGTCTTTGGCTGGCGAAATTGATGCTTGATTTGCTCCAAGCGCATTTCTCTACCCATTTCCTCACTTTTTTCCCCCTTTTCAGATGTCTTATTTTGATTTGTCGTTATTTTATTTTTCCAAATCTGTTGTCGTCAAGTTATTTGGTTTTTCCAAATCTGATGTGGTGCAAACCAGGATGCCATTTAAGCAATGGTTGTGATATGTAAGCATGGTATCTCTAGGTTCACTGACAGTTAGGGACAGAATTATAAAATAAAAGAAACTTGACAGACTGTGTTGCAATGAGTCAAACTTAAAGGGTTGAGTCATAATTGAGTTGAAAGTTGAAGGACTGATGGACTAATTTTCCCTAATAAATACTATACTGTTGTTTTTTGCATCAATTTTTTAAGTGCTTTTTCGTAAATATTAAACTGTTCAAGAGAGAAAAAGCAGAACGACAAGACAAGCCTCTATTTTCTGCAACTTTTGTACTGCAGCTGTACTGAATTTGAGTTTGATATTTTGTTTGTAAAATAGCATGAAAAAGCTCCCTTTATCTCCGTCTTCTAAAATCAAACTTCTTTTCTTGTGCAGGCAGTTCATTTTATCACATTTTATATGCCACTTTGGGGTGCAATTCTTTACAATGGGTTTACATATTTTCAAGTAATACGCATGCTGAACAATGCAACCCGTGTATGTGCTCAAATTGTCAGGTTTTTTTTTTTTTTTTCCTTAGCATTGATTTTGGAAGCTTTAAACCTTACCATTTTCTTGTGAATTTCAGATGGCAGTTGGTATTTCAGACCGAAATTATGTCTCAGATACAAGGGATAATATGAAGGTAATTTATAGTCTGACTACTAATACAATATTGGAAGTATAAAAATCCATGCACGTGGACGAGGAACCCTGTTTTCCTCCTCCCTCCTAACTAAAAGGAAACAAAACGACAATAAATGAACATAGGATAACCTTCTAGCAGTTATTTGCTGCTGTTAACATTTCTAATCTTAGAATTCTCATTGTTTGGGCTATTCTTTTTCTTTATCTGCCTTTCTTGTCATGTGGCATATTTATTGCAATCTATCATGTTATTGTTTGTGCTCGAACGTATTGCTTAAACTGAAACTATAATTACTGTCTCATCTGCATCTTTCCTCTACAAGGTATATCATCTTTTTCTTTCCCCCTAACTTTGCAGGCTGTGAGTCGCTGGGGATACTATCCTCTGATTCTAATAGGATCATTTGCATTTGGCACTATCAACCGCATTCATGATTTTATTGAACCTGACCATAAGATCTTTTGGCTTTCATTTCTAGACGTTGGAACGGCTGCCCTTATGGTATGACAAAATCATTGTACTTGCTGTTTTCAGCTATATTTACATTATTGCTCTATTATAACCTGTTAGCGTGGAATTTTGTCCATACTGTAGAACTTCCCTGGCTAAGCGGGCATTCTAAATCATTTTCAAGGATAATTATGCACAAAGGAAGTATTTGCCATTGATGTAGTTTATAATACACAGAAATGTTATATGCCATTTCCAATTAGTGCACTGAATTTGGCATCCTGTATTACAGATTTTTATGTTGTATGAAGAGTGAACATCAAGTTCTGTCACGAGGTACTAAAATGTATTGCTGATTTTTTGCACTCCCTCTACATGTTGCAGGGCCTCTTCAACTCAATAGCATATGGCCTCAATTCTTCTGTTCGTCGAGCAATTTGTGAGAGGCTAAACATGTAAGCCCTACTTGTATTCTATTTATATTCCTTGAGAAATTCCTGTTTGCTTCCTTTGCCCTCTCTGTTGTTCCCTTGACTTTGAGATTCGTCTCACGTGGCTATCCTGGCAAGATTCAAATCTATTACTAACTGAATCCCTCTTGGCTTCTTCATATTCCTCCAACTCTAATCTTCTCCAGGTCAATTCATTTGTCATTCTTATTTCTACATGTACAACCTTGTGATATGTGACCATTAGCTGGAAGAACATTATTTAGAATACTTATCATCTATTTTTGGAGGTTTTTTAATTTTGACTGGTGGGTTGAGAATCACTAATGTGTTTTCTTGTTCCTTTTCTGAGAAAGACGATCACTAGTGTATTTGTGAGGACGTAATTACGTTTTAGCTCATTCAATTAAAACAAACAACCAGACATTTATTCTTTTCATATGCCAGGTTCTTGCCAGAGAGACTTTGCAGATGGCTTCCTAACAATTTGAAGTATAGAAACCAACAGCAAGAAAGTGAGCTAGTCTCGTTAAAGATTGAAGATGAACGATAGTAAATGGACATGGCATGAACCTCCATACCAAATTTTGACGTTTTTCATCCTAGTTTAGGTAGACGAAGTTTTCATGGGGATCAAAAGGTCTGCTAGCAGCATTCATTCAATGCTATTTGTTGCATTGCTCTGTCACTCACTGATTTGAATCATGTAATCATATGAAATCTGGCTTGCATGCCCATGCCTGGCACTTGTCATAGAAAACAGCGGATGAGCCAGCTTATTTTGATGTGTCGGGAATCTATGATTATGCTCAAGCTAAGGCCCACTTGTGACTGCTGCAACAACTAGCAAGGGCAATTTTTTAATGGAGGTGTAGACTCCTGTTCCTGTAGTTATTTTTGCAGATCCTAATTTTGAGCATTTTGTACATGTCCCTGTATCTCTCATTTTTGAGATAGGACGTTTGATTGATATTTTTTGTAGTATAATATTGGGGCACATCCAAATGTTGCACTATCTTTTCCAGATCGGCACTGTATTTACTATTTTACTCCTCTCCCGGCAATTAAGGTGAAAGCTTGAAATTTATATGCCCATTCCAAATTTGCCTTTCGGCCTTTTGGACGAGTAGGGTTGGATCTCTCTCAACAAAGGACGAGTTTCCAAAACTCGATGCTAAGATTCGGGTTAAACAAGCTGGCCTTTATGGGACGAATTGGATGCTCTCAGTAAAAAAGTATTTTGTTGCAAATTTTAAAATTTAAATAAAAAATTTTCTTAGGTGCAGCATGATGTACATGATAACTTGAAAATTGTTGTAGGTTGTGCTTAGTTTTGAACATTTAAATCCTACTAAAATTAATTATAGAGAAAAAAATTAAATGAATAAAAGAATTTATATAATGTCTAATAAAAAATGAGTAAATTGGCATAATGGTCATGAAAAATACAATTCTCATCAATTATGAATGATGTTTTTAAATATTTTTGAATAAGGTCTATTTACAAAATTAATAAGGGATTTTTTTTTTCATAGAACAAATATATTATTAATATTAAAACACTTTACATAAAGTTATCCATGAATATATCTCCTATAACTAACTAAATGATTTTAACCTTTAACTAATTGAATCAAATCTCTACACACACATCCATCATATATTTTCCTCTTTCACAATAATTCCTTCCTTTTTTTGGTGCGCAGAGGAATCAAAATGATATTCACATATTGTTTTTTTTTTATTCTAACAAATGCACACTCTTTTGCAAGAGACATCCGAATATGAGTAGTTAAATTTTGTACCTTTGCAAATGAATCTCATTGCTAGACTTCCTTGCATAAAGATGAATGTAAACCTAAAACTTTTATTGCAGAGGAGTATTTAATTTTTGGTGATAAACTAAGATCTATATAATTTTGTATAGCTTATGTTTGATTTATTTTGAGCAAATAATTTTTTTTGTGTGTTTATGATCTACGATAGTATATTAGTGATACACAATTGTATATCGCTAACAGACCATATTAATGAAAACTTATCAACATTATTTAATCTTGTAGATATGAAAATATTTAATCTTGTCATTTCTTATGATGAAAAATGAGATTTATTAGTTAAGGTATTTGATTCTCTATAATAAGCTAAAACGTTTAAAATTTTTTATGAACTATCTTTGAATGTTTTGGACAAATAATTTTTTTTTTTTGTGTTTCTAATCTATGATAATATATTAGTGATGTACAATTGTATATCACTGATAAACTATATCAATAAAAACTTATTAACACCATTTCATTTTGTAGATACAAAGATACTTAATCTCATTATTATTTTTTAATGAGGGCCAAATAAAGCTCTCTTCCATTTTTAAATGTTTGAAATAAGGTTTTTGTCCAAGTGAAAAATATTCAAGAGAAGGTGATATTATTTGCAAAAAGGATAGTTTTATCATATAAAGCTAACTACATATTAAAACAACCATAATGCAAAATTTAACAAATGTTAGGCTATTTATTGGGTTTTATTTCATAAAACGTGCTATATATATGCAAAAGCTCCAATAAAATATATGAAAACAACAAAAAAGATTACATGAAATCATTTTCTTTCTTTTTTTTTTCCTCTTTTTTTGGCAACAGCAAATCATATTCAAAATTGAAAAATGTTGTAATTTTAATAAATTTTATTTTAACCTCAACTAAGTCTATGGACGGCAGAAAAACCGTCTTTCACAGTTTTAACTAGGTGCGTCCTTCGACAACCTCTTAATTTCTAAATTATTTTAGGCGACAAAGGGATGCTAACTAACTAATTAAGGCTTAGGACTGTTAAGTTTACAGAAACAAGCAACCTGCATCATGATTCTACGAAGCAAATCTGGTGCAGTCGACAACTTCTTCGTTTCAGTCAGCTAGTAATACCCGACCCATAAATTATAAGGTATGAAATTCTAATATTACAACGTTATCGGGTGTACTGTAAAAATCGATGATTTAATTAATGATCCATTCTTGATAAATCCAATGCTGTTTGTCCACTTCTGCTGCGGATGGAGTGGGGTGCCTACTTCGTTACCAACTTGAACGACGTTTCATCGTTTTGACACCTATACTCGAACCCCAGGATCAGAAGCTTGCGTGGCAACGGTAAATACCGAATGCATACAAGAAAATCCGTTAATCAGTTTGCAGCAATTCGGCAGTCTGCCCTTGTGACAGAGACATCCCATGCATATTGGGAAATCATTCTAGTTCCTGTTCCCACACTAGCTTTTACACCTGCCTTCACATTAACACTAGTTTTATCAGAACTCAGAAGCCCACTCCTATTAATATTATCTTCACTTGTGTTGAACCCGCCAAAATGTTGAAATGTTCAATGCATGTTTCCTCCCAATTAATTACGCATGGAATTATTGCCCCTCTTACACTAATCAAACTACACCAAAATGATTTCGATTTTCAAATTTAAAGTTTCAAGTCTGCGATCAGAATTGCACATTCATGGACACCCAAAGACGCAACACCCCACAACCCCGATCTCAAATTCCCAGAAAAGAGAAGGGCAAAATAAAAATAAAAATAAAAAAGGGTGTAACGCAGCTGACATGTACTCGTAAGCGTACAAGAGTAGAAGAGGGAATTCGAGCAACATCGATGTTTCCCAAGTCTCTAAGCACAGGGACAGGCACTGCCAACAACTAGCGAAATTCCTTCTTCATCCTCAGACCTGAAAAAGAAATAGCCGATGGCAAGACCGACCACGATCGCCACAAGGACCCCTCCGTTAAAGGACATGACAGCCAGCATCAGCAAATACCCGATCGCCGAATTAAATCCAAACAGCAACGCTCCGGCGAGCTTCACCCCTAATTTGGCCTTGTCTCCGGCAAGATTTGGTCGGAGAAGAGGGATCTGATTCTGGGGCGTCGTAGCGGACGGCACATCGAATGTAATGGCCTTGAGGCGAAGGCGACGATTCTCCAGATACTGGTAGAAAGCAGAGACCAGGAGACACGCCAGCAGACTCAACGCGTAACTCGTCCATGAATCGGTCTTCCAGGAATCGATGAGAAGGGTAACCTTTTTGCTCCAGTAGAAGGTCATGTGCATCATCTTGGCCTGTTGATGGAAAACCAGCAACGGAGGAAATCCGATGGCTCAAGTCTGAAAATTGACCCGCTGGGGAAGAAGATTCTGATTTTGACTCAAATGGGCCGTAATGCGGCCCAGTACTCCACAAATGTACGTTTTTTACGACATTCATCTCGGCCACGATAAAATACCCCCCGGGAAGTTTCTATTTACGAATTTGTGCCCTCGTTCTCTGCATTTCACTGCCATGCTCGGCAAGGCTGTTTAGGGAATTCGACTTTATGGCCCAATTGGTAGTACATACATCTCGTTATCAAAAGGGGGCAGTACTTTTGCTATTAAAAAAAAAAAATTTTGAAGGTTAAACTGTAAAATAAACTTGCCAAAAACAAAACTCTAAATTTATTTGAACAACACTCAAAAATATATTTAAATTATATTTAGGATGTATTTTTTTTCAAATATAAACTGAAAAACAACTACACACCCTCGCATGGGACTGGAACACTTGGTAACAAGCATGTAAACAACGTAAACAACAACTCATTGTTTAATTAACTAGTTATGAATTTTACTTGTTGTGACATAAATTAAATGTAGATATCATCTTAAATAAAAGAAGAAGTCATGAAAGTTTGCATACATTAATTTGCTTCTCCTTCACTCGAGTTATTTTTTTTTTTATAAATACATCCTAGGGTTAAGTTTCCTTCTATTGTTACGATTAATTCATTAATTCATATACCCCCGAAGTATTGAACATGAATAATTGCCAAAAAAATTATTTTTCTTTGGCCAAATTAAAAAACGACGATTTTTCATAAAATGATTTCTGACTCCAGCAATTAACAAATGTTGACAAGTTTAATAATTTCCACACAATTAGAAATAAATATTGATAAATACAAATCTAAGATCCTATGTTGACCAACCCTTGCCTTTGTAACTTTTTGTGGCCACGAATAGGATGCATCAAATCCGTCCTATTCTGGGACCCATATATTTTGGGCTCTTCGTAGCTATCCGCTATCAAAAATATCTTACACTCTAAAATTTCTTGAATTTGAGAATAAATGAGCCGCCTAATAAATCAAGTGATGATGGATGCGTCTCATAGGCGACAATGCGAATGTGGGACAATATAAATATATAATCTGTATATAAAATGAAGGAAAAATTGGAAGCATTTGACGCCAAATGTAACAACAATACTGAAATCATCCCGGTATAGCACGTAGTTTCATTTATTATGTGGTAAAATTGTGAACATTCTTTAATCAAATGCCCTCAAATTCAATTAATATACAACCTATCAAATATACTCTCCCTGTTTTTTTTAATAAAAAAACTTAAAAAAAAATATAATGAATTCAACGTTCCACTTGCACAGCTAGTTAAGAAAAAATTTTGAGTTTTATAGTCTAAAATAAGATTAATTTCAACATAACTATTTTATTCTTTAGAAAATAAGTACCATTTAAAGCATTAAAAGTTAATTATCCAAATATTATTATCTTCTCTCATCGATTCCTTTCATTTCATTAAAATTCACCTCCTTTTCTCCTATGAACCAAACAAACAACATCTGCGAGTCCAGCTATGAATAAATTATCATCTTGTTGCTATTTAAACTAAATATTTTTTCACCAAAAAATAAATAATTTTAAATATTACAAATCATTTAGGTAATATTCAGAGGAACATATTTTATTGTTAAAATAGTATGATATCAAAAGCTATGTTTGTAAAAACATACAAAGACGATATACTTTGTGGCTACTTATGTATTGTTATCGATTTTTTTTTTTTTGGCCTGAAACATATGTATTGTTATTGATTAGTGTGTTTTGTCCTAGGCAAAAAAATACTCCCTCCATTTTTATATATAAAAAATTTTTTTATCCATAAATACAAGATGTTATTAGTATATTTTTTTTAATGAAGGGACCATTATATCCTTATTAAATTAAAAAAAAGATTAATTCTTTAATTAATTTACTTTAAAAAAGGGATTTAGTTTTTATTTATAATAATTAGGGGTAAAATTAAAATGTTACTATGCTTTTAATTTGAAAACTAATTTTTATTAATTTATATGATTAGATTAAAAATATGGTGTATATACAGAGACGAAGGGACTAATTGTGATTTGTAAGTGTGAAAGTTTACACCTCGTGGCCGTGCACAGCGGTGAGTGCCCTGGCGACGCCCATGTGGGAGGTTGCATTTTTCTAGCTTTCGACATTCTAACTTTTTTATATTTTTGCGACAAATACAACAGCAGATCAGTCCAATTTTTCCAATGATAAAATTCTCAACGGAAACACAATTTTAGAACCAGTGAGTTTTAAAAATGAGGAACTGCAAACCTGTGGATATATCAAAGAGTGGAAAACGGAAAGCCTGATGCCTTAACGGGCATGTCGCTCGGTCAACTTTTGGCAAACACATGGACGCCATGCCAGAGATAACCCTCTGAATTCAATACTAATGGCGTTTTGCTGGCAAAAGAGGTTCTAACAGCGTTTGGACCAAAACGCAGCGTCAAAGCGGGCGAACAAATAGCATTTTTATAAAGTGATAACTAGAATCGTAATCGGGGATTTGACGCAGTGAGGTACCCAAATATACCATTAGGATAAAGCTTATGGTATTGGATGGTGGACCCCGTCTTCCATACCCTCATAACTACGTACCGTACAGATATTTTCTTCTTCTGCTCTTCCTTCTCACCCTCTTCTTCCTCCTCTCCAATCTCCACACCTCGCTTTCTTGGTGCCTCTCTTTCTTCTGACATCACTATCATCACCAGCGTCTCCCCTGGCTCAATCCTTCCTTCGGAACCACCATGCATGTATACAAACCGAATTATCAGATATGGTATTATAAAGAACAATTAGCCGCTAACTCTGGCACAAGTCATATAAGTTTTAAATGAAGAACAAGGATCCATTATTCTAGTTGAGAAGTCTTCGAAACATAAAGATCTACGGAACTGGCCAGTGCATTATTCAACATTAGAATACATATCATATGATGCAAATGCTAAGCGTGAAGGCCAGACTTCAATGAAGGCGAGACAGAGATTTTAAAATCAGGGCTGTTTTCAGACAACCCCGAGGCCAATGCGATTCCAATAGGCTGCTTGCAGTTCATCGATCAAGTGGCCTTATCAATTACTCTGCCGTGACCTTCTCCCTAGTCGCTCCGTTTCTGACTCCCTGTCATGGTAGAGAAGCAGCTCTGAGACCTCCCCAATGGTCGACACGTCATCCCTTCGTTCCTAGGACTTTCCAAGCTCCGCAACATCAGCTGCTTCATGGCTTTTATCAAATCCTCGGTGGCATTGTTGGGAGGGCTTGTTTCTGTGAACTGTTGACGGAACTTCTTGTGACTCTTCACTGCTTCGTCCACGGTAATGTCTCCCTCCGACCTGTGTTCCTCGTCCTTCACTGCCTCTGCACAGAGCCCGCAAATCCAACGACCTTGATATTTCTCTCGCACACCACCGACGTATGCCACAGTGCTCTCCTCCGTCAGTTCGCAGCAATAGCATTTTACATGTACTGTTTCTGCCCTCATCGCCAATGCTTGTGCCTGTGGCTGCGTCTCAATGCCAGATAGCGATTTCGTTTCCTTCAAAATTCTAGCTGCCATGATATCCTCTCTGGTTCACAAAATCCAACATCTTAAAGTTTGAAGAAAAAATTTTGACCGTGTAATGGAAAACAGAGATATGTAAATTGCGGAAGGAAATTTGTCTTAATCTTTTTACCTTCCGCCGAAATCACCCTATATATGAACAATAGAATAATATTCCAAGATCAGTTAAAAAATACTCAAAGGATCTAAAACAGATGCGAGATGATATGTATTTTTGGGAAGAAAAAGAATTATCGCTCCTTTTCCCACTTGATTTCTTCAACTTTTTCGCTCCCCGGAAACAGAACTTCAAGCGGCATACAATTCATTTCAGAGCCTGGATTGGCTCTGTGATCCTTCCCTAAAAGCGAACTATTTTCAGACACACTGAATCTCTGTGCAAATCAGATTCTCTAATCTTCCCGTGTTTCAGACTTTCAGCAGATGAGCAGAATGAAGAGCGTGTGCATGAAACGAGAGGGACCTTTGTTCCTCCTGCTATTTATTGACAAAAATATGGCGGTTTGACGGGTGCAAATTTTTCAAGACAAGTAAATGCTAAATTGAAATCGACTAAATGTTATCATCACTTCAATAATACATTTATTAAGCCGTAGCACTCATATATGGTTAACAGACTAGGTACAATGTACTACAGGAATCATTTCTTTTCTTTTCTTGTCTTGTTTTTTTCTCTTAAGATTTGTGAAGCTTAATCAATCTGCCAGCTGGTAGAGCAAGCTATTCCTTTTAACGGTGTTGCTGGCCTAAGGTGCAAATATAGTTGAGTGTTCCACTTTGGGGCCTTGAAATTGACAAGAGAGAGCGCACTTGTGGTTGTGGGAGAGCCAAGGACTCATGAGCCTTACCCATGTCCTGTGAGAGCCTTTGATACTCTTTCCTCTCCTCTCTTTATCTTATACGTACAATGTGTTATGTGTTGTATTTCTTTGTTTGAGTTGCTGAGGACTTTGTAGTATTAAGCTAAAGTACGCGAACCCCTAGCGTTCTTGAAGTCAAGGGATGACTGTTCACTGGTCTGCTGAGGTGCCGGTAGCAAATGTTGTTACGGCAAGTAAACCTTGCAGCCTGGCCTGCCAGTGACGATAGAAAACAGAACGTGGCCATCAAACCCATCAACGTTAGGGGATAACCATGAATCACAGTTTTTTAGTATTTTATACTCTCCAGCAATCACCCCCTCCACCCAACTGCTGATCTTATCATGTATTCCACCCACACTAACAGCGTGTTTGGATTGAGAGTATAATCAATTTTTGAAAAAAATTATCCAAACAGTTAAAAAATTTGATAATTAATAAATTAATTATTAATCCAGAATCACATTTTTAAATAAGCTCTGAAATGTTGCTTATAAATTCAATTTTACTGTTGAATAATATTTTCACTTTTTAAATAAAGTTTAACAAATTTAATAATATTAAGTATAATTTTGTCAAAAATTTAATTTTGAAAAGTAATGTCCTTTATGATAATTTATATTGCTAAAATTAATTTTTAAAAAATAATATTCAAACAAATTGTGTTATAATATAATTAATTATAATTAAAATTAATCATATTATTTAATTATTTTTATAATCAATTCTACCCAATTCAAATCGAAACGGGTTATTACTCTGTTTCCCCATTTGGCCTTTTACTAAAAAGAGTATGAAGAAACCAGTGCGGGTGCTCTGTATTGTACAAAATTTTCGAAAACAAATCATGTTATTCATGACTCTCGGATATGGTATCTTGTTAGAATTTTTGACATCACACATGCATTGATCACCAGCTGGCATCTACTTTTTTTTTTTTTTTAAGATCCATAGGTGTCTTCTAATTGAAAGTAATTCTGTTTAAGGTATTGTCAGTGAGCGATTCATTCGGTGAGTTTTGAATCTTGATTTTAGTCCATTTCATCCACCTTTTATATGTAGACAGGCGAAGCGCAGAGCATACACATAGTGGTACGGGGCCTTCTCTTTGTGGCCTACACAGTTGTCCTGGACCTGCTGCTTCTGGCCCACTCTAAGTAGGATTGGGCCCATATATTTGTCGGCTGGAAATCTGAAGCCCTGCATCGGTTGGCTCGCGATAAAAGTGTCCACGAATTGAGGTTTGGGTCTCACAACAACTTGGAAGAGTTTTTACACCCAAAAAAAAAAAAAAAACTTGAAAGAGTTTGCCTTTTCTAATATTACTACCATCCTAAATTATAAGATAATTTTAAAAGTAGTTTGTTATCTTAAAACATAAATTAATTTGAAAAAAATAAGTTTCATTAACGATACTTTTTTAATATTATCCTTTAAGTGGAAAAAAAATGAAATGATTATAGTGTAATAATTAAATATATGTAGGTTTAAAACAAATTATATTTCTGAAATTTTATATTTTGTTTTCATAATGTAATCTTAAATTGTCTTATAATTTGTAATAGAGATATTAGCTCTTAATACATTATGAGCTAATATCTCTGTTTATAAGTACACTTCTTTAAGAAGAAAGCTTACACACACAAACATTCATAAATTACCCACTCATGAAATTCATATATCAAAAGTTAAATGTCAATTTATATCTTCATAAGGTATAAAATCACTCAGAACAAATCTTTGTTCATGATTGAAAAAATTGGTTCATTGTATATATAGTGTAGATGTAATATTAGTGTTTTTTTTTTTTAGTTTGGCAGAACCACACCAGTGTGATAATGGTTTGTGATGGTGCATTTGCACACTCAAACAGTTCTGGGTCCCATTTTCCATGTGTAGCAATATGCATACGTGCCGTTGCTTGAAGTCGACTAACAGTTTGTAATAGGCCGAGTCTCAATATTTAGAGGTTGGGGGGGGGGGGGCGCACAAGTTTGCTGATAAAAGTAAGTATAAAAGTAAGTGTGTGTCTGTTTCTGTGTTACATATGCATTTTGAGACATAAGTAACGTTTTCTTTAGATTAAATTCAGTCCCACCTATGTATTTTCCAACATCGGATGCAAATTAAGGTCATGTTTGATTACTAAAATGAAATGAAATGAAATTGATTAAAAAAATAAAGATAAAAATAAATTAAATCACCCTCCATTCCATAACAAGTATGATAATACTCATTAATATATATTAAAAGTGTGAGAATTATCACTCTCTAAAAATCTCATGAATCATGATTCTTAACTCCATAAACTAAATTATTCCTCTCCTTTATAAATGTACTCACCTATCCTCTTTAATCATCTTATTTTTACTTTTATTTTTTTTTAATCCATTCCATTCCATTTTAGTAACTAAACTTGACCTTAAGTTGAGCAAGATGAGCATAATTAAGTTAGGATTTATGACATTTAGTCAAGGATAATTTTTAAAATATCAACTAATTTTAACCTTTCTTGATGTACTAATGTATGTGAAATAGTTAAGAATTTATTATGAATAAGAGAAGGAGAAATAGAAATCATGTAATATCCAACTCCTCTTTATCTGCCTTCCTGAAAGTCGATGAAATAGAAGAAAGGGGTAAAGAATGGATAAAACTTGGCGTGAGCGTTGAAATTGAAGATGTCAAACCTGGGGAAAAGGTCAGCGCGGTAGACTTGAGGGGTGCTGAGGGTGTATGCAGGAAATTACACAACATGTGATGTTATGGTTAAATATAAAGTTGACGTGGCGGGTGTGAACGCAGGATGATGTCGATGATGATGATGCAAGGGATGACGTTCATAATATAACTGGGTCGCCAGAAACCATATTTTAATTCTCATTTGACTAATGTTTTGATTCTCTCATCCGCCTCCGCGGTTTGGCTTGAGCACTGGACTCACAAGTCACAAGTGAGTGACAACACCACGTTGACTTCATCGCCCAACGATCCTGCAGGCTAAAATTAAGAGTTACTTGGAGATAAAACGATAAAAGAGATCATTTGTTTTGTTAACATACAACGTAACCATTATGAAGTGATAGTTATTAATTTTAAAACAAGTTAAAGCTTTAAAGTGGTGGGTAATTTTGTATAAACATTCCAATCCTCTTCTAATTCGGGTGGATTCATAATTTGAAGTCATTTTTGAATCTCATGCGCTGCTGATAATAAATCTGATTTCTTCAATTACAGATCATCTGGAGATCCAAGTAATTAACGTCGTTGGCGCTCAGCATTTTAATAAATAAAATAAAGTGTTAATGGTAAATTGTAAGATTCACAATAGGTCGATCTGCAAAAATAAAACTAACTATGCGGCTAAATATCTCAGGAACCCTAATAATAGGGCTGCAAATGTATAAACCGAAAAGAATGAAATTAACTGGGAAGGATGCAAACTGTTTCGTTATAATAAACTTCTCAACTGAGGGACGAGAATGGGGTTTTATCAAATAACTTGGTATAAATTAATAAAAGATATTTTGGTCGGAGGATATAATGGGGTTAGACTTAGAACTAAGAACTAGCTAGCTAAGGTTGTACGTTTGGTTTGCAAAGGGCTGGAAACTAAAGGAAGGAGAAAGACCAAGTGGACGGTGAAAAAACATGTTTAGTATGTAGTAAGAAAAGTATCTGCGTCTTGAATGGAACGGCTGGATGACACTGGATATCCTGGAATCTGCGTCAAGAAGTCCATCATACCCCTGACCATTCATACGAACTGATAGCAAACTGGTAAATAAAATTAGTAATGTTTCTCTTGTTATGTTTGTAAAAGATTTTTGTAATGGCCTGATATATAGCCAATAATTTGGGCAGGTCCGAATAGCCATGGTCAGCCAGAACTTCATTTTTAAAATTAATTTTTAATTTAATTTTTATTTTAAAATTAATTATTTTTATTTTATGAGAAATATAAAGTATAATTTTTGGGATGCTTCAGCGATGTAGAATACTCAAGCTTTTTTCCAAAAAAAAAAAGTGGATTTTAAAATTTAAAAATCAATATTGAAATACATTTTAAGTATTATTTTGAGATATTTTATTGATTAAAAATAATAAAAATATGACAAAACAAATATTTTTTATTTTTTAAAATATCTATGATAATATACTTAAATATATGGTATCTTAGTATAAAATAACATAAAATTTAAGAAATTAATTAATATTTAATACATTTAATATATTTTTAAAAATATAATATTTTTTTATTCAGGTATTCGGGCCTAGCTCAAACCCCATTTTAGACTTATTCTGATCAAACATTAAAATGTATTATTTTATTAAGCCCGGCCTTAAATTTTTAGGAGCTTGTTCAAACTAGCCTGTCAAGTTTAGCTTGAATTACTAGCTTTAGGTAAATTATGTTTTATACTTTTATTAACATGTTAATAGATCTTGGATATCTACTCGTGATTATGATAGAAAGTTACCTGTATTTTGAATACATATTTTACTTCAATAAAAAAATATTACTAAAGCTACATACATGCAGGTAGGGGTATTTGAGTCTTTTTGTATCAGTTATTTTTCATTCAACTTCTATTTGTATCACACCAAAAGTATTTTGTTTTCTTGATGCAAAGAATCCTATTTGCTTAGTAATTTTAATGAATTCCATTCCCTCCTCCTTTCCAATCCTTATTCTCTAAAAAAAATTTCATATTGCCAATGGTGGCCTTAAAAGCAGGAGTGAAAATATGTCAAGCCAAACTTTGACAAGAGAAGCCTGGACCTGTAATATAAGCATCAAACTTGAGCCTTAGTCTTGGGTTGGCTTGAACACTTTTTAAATGTCTCCTTCATATGTAAATCTTTAAAAGGGCTTATGAATTTAGGATTTAAAGTTTTTAACTAGACTTTGAGCCCATCAAAACCTATTTTTTTATGCAGGCTTTAAAGCTTACACATATTTTAAATTTTAAATAAGCTTAAAAACTTAAAAATTATTTAATTATAATATAGTGTATAAATATATAAATTTAAATATGATATGATATATAAATATATAAAATATATAAATATACCTAAACAAGCCATCTTGTTGACTAACAGACTAAGTTTTAAAAATGTAGGCTTGGCTTGTTTATTTAGGTATATAGGTCTCTAAACAAATATTAAATCTGACTTCTTTTAGTTTGAATGCATATATATACACATACACACTTATACATATACATATGCATATGCATACACATACACATATACATACATACATGCATACATACTATGTATGTATGTATGTATCTGCATGTGTGTGTTTATGTATCTACATATATGTGTGTGTGTGTGTACACACTCTGTAGATAGATAGATAGATACATGGATGCATGTAACTTATACTAGTTAATTTGACTGTAAAAGTCGCAGTTCGAAAGCTTCAGCACGATTGTTGCTTCTTTTTTTTTTTAAATAAAAAAAGGAAGAGCCATCACGACTGTTTCTTGTTTTCACTCCTTATTAATTTAGCAATGCGGTTGACGGCTTGACCTAGTGAACTAGCAATTGTTGCACGAAACCAAACAAATAGTAGTATTCCAAAGACCAGAGCAAAATGGTATCATATTCACATATCATCAAGCGTTTTTTGGCCACAGTATTTGAGTGCTTAATACGCAAATTCAAGGACAACTTTGAAATTTACTTTTTTGAGAACAAAAGATGGACAGCTTTGAAATCTACAATTGCAAAGCTAGCAATTGGGTTTTGACAAAAGTATTGCAATATCTATGCGAAGATTTGAATGCAAGTTTTGGTCTTCTCATTATAATGTGTCGCACGTTCATGGATGATACGTAATAATAACTAGTCTTCTTAGAATGTGTAACACAAGGTCTCATTCCTTCTATAGAAATCAATCAATGAAATTCCAATTGGGCGCTCCAAGGAATTCCTTTTTAGAAAAAGTATGTAAAAGTTTATATGTTCACATATATAGTTTACCGTGCTTATAGCTAGTACAACATGCATGAGCTGCAATTCAATTCGTTGTTTAAGAAGTTGAGAATACAATTCAAATAATCAAAATAAAAGTGCATAATAGTTGGGGGAAAAAAAGTTCAGAATGTACAGATATACTGAATTACAGCTTTAAAAAGAAGTAAAACTCAGTTTTGAATCTTGATCGAATGCATAGAAAATAACTGAATTATTGCCCAGGACAACAACATCATTGGCGTTGCCCCAATAGACTATATGCTAAGACCAATAAGTCCATATATTTCACATTTCTGAATTCTCATATCACTATATATATCCGTTCTAAACACATACATTAAAATCTTATCGGTCCAATGTCAATTAGTACGAGCCATTTTTCACGCCTTTAATTTATAGAGACCTTGCATTAATAACTAAATTGCTTCAATTTAGGCGAAAATCCATGCCACTTTATTGGTAATAAAACGAAAATAACTCTTTGGTGGCTTTCAATTTCAAAACAAATTCACCGGACTCAGAAACCTATAGGGAAAATGTGAATGCCTTGCCTTGGCCAAAGCGAGAGAATTGATCAAAGACGGAGAAGCTTGGGCAAAAGTTCGTGAGGCTAAAATAACCCACAGAAATCATAAATGAACGTGGAAAATTCAAGTCCCCAAAACTTGATTTTTCTTAATGGAAACCAAATTAAACAATCTACACTGAATTAAGCTGGGCGAAAGAATCAGGAAGTGAAAATTAAATGTAACCTTGATCATCTCATGGCTTTAATTTGAGGAAGAGATTGCCACTTAAGGCTTGTTTGAAATTATTTTTGTTTTATTATTTTAAAAAATTTTATTTTATAGAATATGTTTTAAGATAAAAATAATAAAAATAGATAATTTTCGCATTCTACCTTATTCTTTAAGACAATAACCTTAAAACATCAAAAAAATGTTTCTATTTTTCTGTTTTCCTAAACAATATTTGATTTTTTTGGTTCTTCAAAATGCTTTCTAAAAATAAGTTACAAATTTTTTTTTTGTTAATTATCTCACCACATGATATCAATGATTTAATTTCAGAAAAAAACTAGTAGTGCTTTTGAATTCATCTGTAGTTCTTCCGGATACATTGGCTAAAGTGTACTAGATCATAGTATCCATCATGATTAAAGACAGACTTTCATATTTGGATCAGACAAATTCAATTGATATCTTGTTTAGCATGTATTGTCTTTGGTGTTCTATTTGGATCCCTTGGCCAGAACAGAAAAGGGCAATTGCAGTCAAAGAAATAGTTAGAAACCCTATAGCACAATCAAGAAATTATGCTAATATTATGTGTGTATGTGTGTAATAAGCATAACTTTCCTAGTGGGGTGAAATAGATTACTCAATAATACTATGATTTAAAAAATAAGACATACAGAAAATAGAAAATGGTAAATAATCATGAAGCAACTAGCAAAAGAAAATCCCATCCCAATAAAAATTTAAAAAACCCTCACTAAAATAGTATCTTAAATTTACCATGCATAGAATGGTAATTTTATTGATACTAATAAAAGATACATGGTTGAACTCTGCGATGCCTAGCTAGGGTTATTCTTCTGTAATCAACAGACGTCTTCATCAATTGTGCAGTAGATGTATCACGAGTTGATCATCAAGATATTCTTGATCTAATTGGAGCGAAAAATAAATCTCAAAAGAGACTTGATTATTTAATTAGAATAAGAAAGCTAGATCGATCTATGTAATAATTGATCGAGCTAATGAATTTCACTAAAGTATACAGGTAATTCAAAACCAAACAAAAGTAAAATATTATGGGCATCTGTTATCAAGAAACAACCACACACTGGATATATTGATGGTTGCAAAAAAATCAGTGACCCGCACGCACGCCTGTGCCAACTAAAAGAGACATATCAGAGAGTGATAGTCGTTGAGGATTCAAAAATTCCAAAGGAACGATGATTGTTGGGAAAAAGCGTCATCACATTCCATGGCGTCCCCATTGTCAGCAACATTATCCATGAGCAAGGGAGGTGGTGATGCGGGAAATAACAACTCACCAGGGTGCATCTTATCGAAGCCAGGGTAGAAACCACTACAATTATAATTAGTGTAGTTGGCGGAGCCAGTCTCATCCAGTGACTTCAGGAACGACCAATCGTTAATGCCCCTCAAGTCCCCGACCCCGGTGTCTACCTCCACAGGATCGCCACTCTCAGCAACCCCATCTGATGATTGCTGATGAACCAGCGGCGGGTCCTGCTGGTGCTCGTTGGCAAACCTAGCAGCAAGCTCCTGGATTTCCTGAGCGGAACGAGTCTGTTGGTGATCACCAGAAACACTGATCTCCAGCTCCAAGGGCGTGTCCGGGAAATTGAAATTGGCGTGGCGACCGCGCAGGCAGTACAGCGCTGCATCGAAGGCTCGAGCAGCCTTCTCCGGCGAATCATAGGAACCCAACCAAATGCGCTCGCGGCTGTTGGGAAGCCGGATTTCAGAGACCCACTTGCCCCATTTTCGCTTTCGAACGCCTTTGTACTTGCCGGAGCAAGAGTCGTTAGTAGTTCTCAGCAGAGTGTGGTCGGAATCATTAGGCACTGTGGAAGCCATGGAAGGCTGGGTATGTTGATTTGGATGCGAGATCTTGAATTGATGGCTGCTGAGAGAGTAATGTGTGTCTGTGTGTATATATATAGAGAGAGAGAGAATGCAGGGGTGGAAGCTTGGAGGTGTGGGAATTTGAAGGAGGAGGCCACGAGGGTGTAAGGGTGGAAACGTGTTGATCGGGATGGGGAAGAGCGTAGAATGAGTGGACACGTGGCGTTGAGATAGGGCGTGGTCAGTGGCGGGGAAATGGACGCGGTGGGGACAGAAGGCAAAGGGCACGTGTGGAAATGGAGGAGGGGAAGATGTTGACAAATGAGGTGGGTGTCTGGATGTTGGTGGACCTCACAGGTCGTTGCTCGCTGATTTGTAATAATTGGATTACATCATCATCGACTACGGATTTCAGGACAATCTAATCTGGAGTTTGTTTGTTTTTTTTTTTTTTAAATCTGGTTGCGGTAGTTACAATTTTTCATGGTGGGTTATTTAACGTCTTTTCCCTCAAATGAACCGACCTGATTAGCTGATTCATAGATCCATACATGGTCATGGTTCTCATTGTCATTCATAATTATCTTAGTTAAAAAAAAAAAGTTGTGATTTTAAGAATGGCCTCTACCGTTTTCGTGAGAGAATTAAGTTCGCTCCTCTGACGAGCGACAGTGATGGTCGGTTCGAAACATTCAAAACACAGACCAGCAATAATGGACAAACGAATAGTAAGACTGAAAATACGGGCGGGTCAGCCCTTAAAAACTTGACTCTTATAACTTAATTTTAAAGTTTATTTTTTAATTTTAATTTTATTTTTAAAATCTAATTCTTATATAAAGAGTTTAAGGTCGAACATATAAACTCTTTTTAAAAAAATAAAATAAAATATTATAAATTAATTAAAATATTTTAAAATTAAAAAAATAAAATTTTTATAATTTTTTAAAAATTAAACAACGCACATTTAAAAATATAGCAATAAAATTTAAATCTCAGTTAAAAATAATTTATTTATTTTTATAAATACACAAATATAATAATTATAAAAAATAAAAATATCAAAAATTTTATACTATAGACTAATATTTATTAAATTATATTAAACTAATTTTAGAATAAATTAAAATTAATAATAATATAATGCGTGTAGGATCAGGTGAGCAAGTCATTAGCTTTAAATATGTGTTTCATTAAAGACGACGACAACAAGAACAACAACAACAACGACAATGACAATAGGGTTTGAAAGGCTACTCGGGCTCGAGTTTTTTTTACAGAACTTATTAGGGCTCAGTTCTCAAGCTCAATTACTTTAAAAATTTATTTTTAAAGTCTAAAATTTTATTTAAACAAGACCTCTAAATCCAATCCTCCAAACTTATCCTTATTCCTGACTCTAATAAATTATTAGGTTTGTAGTTTTGTTAACTATTGTTAGCTTGTGTCTTTTTTTTTTTTCAAAACACTATATGCAACCCCTCTCATCTTTAGTTATTTACAATTAATCTTTTTTAATTTTTAATTTTATTTTTCAAAGCCTCCTATTATTAATTACTCTGTTACATTATTAACAGAATTTATCATATTAGATTAATATATAAAAGCCACATCTCTGCATGCATGGCATCTTATATGGCAAAATAATAAGTGTATAAAAATTATATTATTTGTTATAAGAGTTAAAATGCCATTTTCCTTTTTAAAAGAAATCCTAGCTGCCTTTCCATCTTGCTAGTGCATAATAAAATTTCTTTCAGCTTCACAGCAACAGGTAAACGATTCAATTCCATGAATATATGTCCATGAATGTTTTTGGTTAAATAAAATATTACTCCTTTTATTTAAAAATATAACATATTTTTAACTAAATCTCATCTTTAAATAAAGTAGTTATTTACTTTTCAATTAACGTTATCTTTTCATATTTACCCCTATTAAACACCTCATAATAAATATAAAGTCATTATCAATAGGGGTACTTTTAAAAAAAAATGCAATGATTATACCTTGAAAAACTAAAAATGCCTTATATTTTTAAACATTTAACTCCTCAAAAAATACTTTATATTTTTGAATGGGAAAAGTATATTATAGAACTATTTATAATTAATTTCTTAGAGTATATTTATTTATAGTTGAGACATTGGTATAAAAAAATATTATTGCTTTTGTATAAAATTTTTAAATATTTATTTTTGTAATAGTTTTATCTATTTTTTTTTGTTATCAATATTGGTGCATAGTTTTCTTGTATTGTAGGACAAATTTTTATTTTTATGATTTTTATCAATGATAGCTTTTAAATATTTTTTCATTTATTTAATATGAAAGGCTGTTTTAATTAATAAAAAATAATAAAATTATAGTTTTTATCTTAAATTGTGTTCCATTAACAATGATGACAATCTTTCTCAACTAAAAAAATTGAAAGCATCGCCATATGTATTAAAAATAAAAATTACAATTTTGTCATCCCGCCTTAAATTGTGTTAAAAAACAATAAAAATATTTTTTTTATTATGTGTCTTGTGTATTGCATTAATCAAATGTGAAAATATCTATATTAATAATATAACAATTAATAAATGATTGGGGGTTTTAAAAAAATTAAAAATTAGGATGTTAATTTTGAACATTTAAAAATAAAAACGATCATACGCAACTTATGCCTCAAAATTTAGAAACATTTTATGTATTTTACCCCCCCAAATCTCTCTCTCTCCCCCCTCCCTCCCTCAGAAGTGGGGTCTCTCCACTTCCTTTTCCTCCATTTTCCTCTACTTCCCTCATCTTTGCCATTCATTAATTTTTTTATTTAAAAAAATTATTTAATAAAAAATTTTGAATGGTGTAATGGGAGAAGTGGAGGGAAAGGGAGGAAAAGAAAGGGAGAGGCCCTTGGTCCCCCTCCCTCCCCAACTATTAAATATTGTTAGTGGTCTCCTAATCTAGTCCTGACTGTAAGTATAAATATCTTTTTTTTTTCCCGTTCCAATACTCAAATTCAATGACTTTGATAGATCAATTCTATAACCAGTTGATTTAAGCGTGCCTATGCATTAAAGAAATTTTAAAGTTGAACTTTCATTTTCATTTAAAGTTTTTTTAAAAAACAAATTTACCCTGAAGAGCCACGGTTTCCCTCTCCATATTTGTTAATAATTCCTAGAACAAGTCTTTAATGATAAGCAAGTATATTTGTAAAAAATAAGTATTTAAAATAAAGAGATGGATTATGTAAATTTTAGAACCTAAAAATGACTTGTTTATTTGAAACCGGAGGTGGCAATATTTTTAATATGTGTGTATGTGTGTGTGTGTGTTGCATAAGAGTTGTCATTTGTCAATGGCATATACTAACCGATATTTAACCTAATTAATTTCTAATTCGACTTTAAGTAATTTTATTTCGTTGTAACTACTCAAATAATAGTCAAGCATGAGGGTTTTTCTTTTTTTGGGGGAGGGGCACCCATCAAATTAACTAAACAGGCTCTCTTTTTTCATTATATTGCTCATAATATATAAATTTCTTATTAGAGACAATCATGCATATTTAAATTATGATTGGGTATTAAATGTGGGCATCCCTCTTCAAAAATACAAACATTAGTTCATCACATTATAAAGGACTAGTCATTTCTATTATATCTAACCTTCGTTTGTAATTAGGCTTTTTTAAATTAGTGACAAATATAATTAACCAGGCTTTAGATGGATTTGGATTCGATGCCTATCTCTAGCACAAACATAGAGTGCTTGTCTCATATGAGTCATTGAAATCTAATTCAATAGTTTATATAAACCCACTCATTTATCAATCTTTGACAGATATAAATTTAAAACCATTAATATAAATTTTAACATTTTAGATTTTACAAGTGTGCTTATACTAGAAACAGGCGCCGCGAATCTAATTCCACTTTAAATGCCTTTGATATTTAAAAGTGCGATAAAGTTTAATTACTCAGCATGGCGATGAAAATGGATCTGAATAGGATGAGTTAACTAACCTCTGATCATTTTGCTGGGGAATTCATTAAACCAAATTGTGAGCCCGAACTTTTCACAAAGCTTGAGGTGAGTGACGCATTTATAGCTTGTAAGGGAATTTTTTTTGGGTATATTTTATATTGTTTATAGGATATGTGTATATATGCTGATTATGAGGTAATATTAATAAATTAATTAGTGCGGTGACAGATCTGCTGGAACATGAAATCATTGAAATATTAAATTCAAAAAAAAATAATTTGTCCCACGCATGTCGGAAGGATTTAAAGTTTCAGAGAATTTGTCCCACCTTCTTAATTCTAGGGACAATAACAATTAGAGATTCTATAAGTTTATTAATTATAATTAAAAACTTTAAATTATTAAAATTTCAATAATGAATCATGTTCTTCACTTAAAATTAAAAACATAAATTTAAAATCAAGAAAATGTACTATTAAAACTACTATTATAAGTTTATTATTAATTTTAGTCAGAACAACCAAAAACTACACTTGGAAATAAGTTATTTTTAGTATAAAACTCAAATTTATTTGTAAAACTTTCGAAGGTACTCCTGAATATGCAATAATCACTTAAAAATTTATCAAAGTCACTTCTGAACGTAAAATCAATCACTTATGAATTTATATATTTGCCAATGTATAAATAAAGCAGCACTTGAAAAATCAAGACAAAACATTACTAAAATTATTATCATGAGTCAAGGCTATTGCTAATCTTAGTTGAAAAAGCTAGGATCCTAAATATTTTGGGTTGAGACTATTGAAATTATTCTTATAGGTTGGGATTATTGTTAATCCTATTTCCTAGTGTAGATCTTAGTTTTCCTAACTAAGATTAATAATAATCCCAACCTATAATAGTAATTTTAATAGTATCTTTTCTTAATTCTAAACTCATATTTTCAATTTCAAGTAAGAATTATAATTCATTATTGAGATTTTAATAATTTAAAGTTCTTAATTGTAATTAATAGTTTTAGAGTCCTTGATTGTCATTTTCCCTTGATTCTAACCC